ACTCCTTAGTTAAGTTTAACACCATATGTAACTCTTTTGTTTTGTAACAACCAATAAACTCGCAATTTTGAATAACTATGAGTTTTTTCATTGATATTGTAGAGAAGAACCTAACTAAACCTAACCCAAACCTTGACTAAAATAATGTACCTATATTGTGCAGAAAGCTAATATCTATATATGCTACGGTACACCCTACCTAGGTAGGTAGGGTGTATCGTGTATGTACGACAACCCTGCATCACACACACTTGCAGCCTCTCAGAGTCGATCGTAAGTAGTCTAAAAATATTGAGGTAGATCGCCAGCAGTTCAAGTTTTAGCACCCCTGTTTTAGACGAAGGAGAACAATGCAACAATTATATGAAATTCAATCTTCGGCTCATGGAAAATGGCCCCGACGAGGAACCAATCTTGATTGTCTTCGAGCTAAAGTTTCATCACTTTTGTTTGAGTGAAACCCTCATTTTTTTCAACCCTCAATTTGTGTTGGTGGTGTAATTTAACCTATGAACTAGTTAAAAGTGTATGGATGAAGGAGACGCCGCCGATAATTAAAGAAATGGAAAAACAGAAATCCAATTAAGATAGGACGGAATCTAAATTGAAGGATCCTCCGTAGCCTGTTATTAAAGTAATCGACATAAATTATCGAATCGGTTTCTCCAATTTCTCATACCCGAAGGATGGAGTCGACAGAGATTGACGCTTTTAAAATCCTCAAGCGGTACTTGAAGGCTTACGGCGTAAACAAAACAAGCGGAAATAACGTTTTAAAAAAAATCCATTTCTTTTTGGTCGTGTTGATCTGCCTGATCGGTTTGTTCGGCTTCGGCAGAGGTGCAATTTACGCAAATCAGGAGTTATCGGATCGATGCATTACGATTGTAACAACGTTCTGCTCGGGGTTCGCCGCTGTCAAAATTACCTATCTATACTGGAACATCGACGACCTCAACCTTTTGATGGACTCTCTGAAGAGCTACAACCCGGACACTTTTGTCACAAAAGCTATAAGGAAGTTGTTGACATCTTATTCCCTGATGATGAGCGGGATGATCCTGCTTTGGGTGTGCACGCCGTTGGTCTTCCTCCAAAGGAGGATTCCCATGTACTTCTCCGCTCCATGGGAAAGCGAATCCTGGCTCGGGTTCATTACCGAGTACATCTTGGCGAGCGTGTGCCTATTGTGCGAAGCACACATACACACAATGATGGATAGCTTTGTCATGTTGCTTTCGTTGCAAATATCCCACAGGCTGTACTTACTGCGGCTTAGTCTTGAGCACATCGGGTCCAGCGGGAAGAGCGAGATGGAGGGGATGGAGGGTACCATTTACAAATCCAACCCTTTGACAACAATTCAACTCTGCGTTGACGAACATGTTTTTATCAGAAGGTAAATCAAAATTTTTAAACAAAAAGTTATCAGAAAAATAATACAATATCTCAAGATTGATGAAAGCGTACGAAGGGCTGGTCTCTGTCGTCTTCCTCTTCCAGGTCTTGATCTCGACAGTCATCATCGGCATTGTAATCTTCTCAGTTACTACGGTAAAATAAATTTTACTTTTTTAATTTTATAAACGTTTTTAATTACAATATTATCAAACTTATCAAAAATACAATATTATCAAAAAGTGCACTTGGTTTGGGTGATTTTTTAAATAATCTATTCCAACGGTTTTTGTACATACTTTTTGTTTATATGCAAGCATTGTTATCTTCCTCAGTACAATTTGGATCATCCTCAGACGATGACAAGTCGACACTCGGATTTCATCATTATTATCCTAGACCTCTTCTGCCGTCTATCGCTGTGAGGTTCCCTTCCTACACATCTTTCCCATCCTTCTCTATCCTCAGATAGTGCTCTTCGGTTATCCCACGCAATTCCTCTCTTCTCACACACCTCCTTCACAACACCTCCCACTCTCTCCAGGGGTCTACTTCTCCCCGTTTGGCCCTCAAAGCGTGCCACAAAGGACCCTTTGGCAGTCCTACCCGACCCCATCCGTTGGAAATGCCAACGTACCTTATCCTTTTCTATCATATCCTCCTCTGGTTGAATTCTCATTCTGATCTTTATTTTGTATTGCCCATCTCTTTTGGTCTTTTTTCGACCTTTTTTCAACTAACTCATCTCAGTGTCTGTAGTTTTGAACAGGATTTTTATATTTCTTACTCAATACTTAGGTCTCCGACGAGTATTTGAGTATTGGGAAAAGTTATATTGAGATTTTATTGCCTTGGAGACTCTCTGCTGTTGAGGAAGCTTTTTTTGACCGCACTGAACAACCTACTAGCGGCACTAATCCTCTCCCTCATCTCTACATTCACCAATCCGTGGTTACTCGCTGAATCTTTTCCGTTCTTATTCTAGCAACGCTCGTCGCCCTGTGGCATTTTGTCTGCCATCATTACTTTCGTCTTTTCCTTGATAATTGCCATATTAACCTTTACAAACACCGTTTCTAACATAGTTACGATATGGATAAAAACTCTATCAATATTAGACACAAGAATTACCAAAACCCTAGCCTCAGGATTGTGCCTAAGGGATATAAAATATGGCTAATCCTTATATGTCTACAATGACTGTGGCTATGACCTCGTCACATAAGCCCTATCTAGCATATTACATCCACTGTAGGTTAAAGCCGTTCTTTCGCATATTCCATGTTAGTGATTTGTGAAGAGCAGATATTCCAGTATAGTGTTGCGATTCTGGATAAATGCGCAAGAACTACAGCAAGTGGCTGTCTTAACACTTGGTTGATTAATTTGTTATTGTCAGGCAAACTTGATATTCGTGGCAAAATAAGAAATAACATTCCTATTTTTTTTAAATGTTAAGTACAGACTCCTAATAAATTTTAAAAAATTACTGAAAATACTGAAGAAATTTGACGTGTACCAATGAAATATAAAATTAATTAATTAAATTAATAAATAGATTAGACTTCAATGTCATCAAAAATAAAATTGATGGTTGGTGCTACCTGCAATCAAATTTTGAAGCACTTGTTAAATAAAAATAAATAAATAAACAGCTCGTTTTAAACAATGTAGCTTGTTTCAGCTGGAAAAAACTGTAAACGAGATTATCAAATATGTACCAATATTTGGCCTCGTTTACAGCCAGATATTCTTGTACTGCTGGTCCGGTGAAAACATTTCAACACATGTAAGTTTCTTATAATCAATTAAAAGTTATCTTCATTTAAACCTCGTGTTATGTTTATTTTTCAAGTACAACAACCTTAGCTTTGCCTGCTATTCGAGTAAATGGTACCAGCTGCCGGTGACACACCGCAAGCAGATCTTGAAATTCCAGCTTAACTCGACTAAGCCGGTAAAAATCAGGGGTTGGTACATCACCGACATGGCACTGTCAACATTTCTAGCTGTACGTCAAAGTTTATATTTGATAAATTAAAAAAAAAAATCTTATTTCAATTAATACTAATTTTTGCAGAGTGTGCAGCAGTCCTGTTCCTACTTCATGATTCTTTATCAGTTCGTTCTTGAGAAGTGAAGTAGAAAAATGTAACTAGTAAATTGTAGGAAAATTTAATAAAACATCTTACCAGCACAGAATTCATAGTTTATTAACAATTAATTTTGGGAATAGTACTTCGCGTTCTTGCTTTGTTGGAGGAACGTAAATTCAAGATGAATAAACTGCCTGTAGGAACCTTTAACCTTAATCTGTCTATGTGGTAGTGTAAGACAAAAGAAGTGACCGGAAAGCATTTCAAGGGTCCGTGAGCCTACATTCCACTCTCCTAAATCATTTGTATGTGGTGTCTGTCTATCAGTTTTTATATCTGTCTGTTTGCATCTCTCTCTCTCTCTCTTTCTCTCAACCTCTTTTAGTGTCTGTCTATCAGTTTTTATATCTGTCTGTCTGCATCTCTCTCTCTCTCTTTCTCTCTCTCCCTCTTTTAGTGTCTGTCTGCATCTCTCTCTCTCTCTCTCTCTCTCTCTCTCTCACTCTCTCTCTCTCTATCTCTCTCTCCCTCCCTCCCTCCCTCTTTTACTGTCCGTCTATCAGTTTTTATATCTGTCTTTCTCCATCTTTCTCTCTCACTCTCTCTTTATCACATACACACCACTCACCTCATTCACTCAATCTCGCATTCCCTCTGTCTGTCTCTCTCTATGTTATATTCCCTCTTTTATGCTTTACCTTTTCAGATTACCTGTCATTATTTAAACACGTTATTAGTATTATTTCTAATTGGTTATAAATCAATACCTAGTTTAGTAGGATTATTATTAAGTTTTAAAGCAAAGTTTTCATTTTTAAACATGGATTAACGCCTAATACAACGTTTGTGTTATATCATACCATATTATCTATCATTCAGGGACAATAAAAACCGTCAATTACTGTACACCCATCAGAAACCTTCCTCTATTGGAAATCAATATGCATGGAAAAGCTCGTTTAGCTGCAGAAACGATCAAATTGGATAGGAAAAAAAAACTTCGGGTGCACAACAATAATTGATAAAATCAGACATCCAATCATAGAAATGGGGACTGACTTTGATCTCATAAATACTACACACCATCCTATGTTTCAACAAAATTAAGCATTAGCATGTAAAAAATCATTTCAAAATTAGTCAATGGATGTATACAAATTCAAAACCTGGAGAAACTCGACAATCTGATGATATACTCAATTAATTATCCACAATTTTTTTAAGATAAAAAAGGTGTGTAACAGGATGGATAACGCAAAAATTTACATCAAAACTAGTCAGAAAATCATCCAAAATCTCTAAAACCAGGGTAAAAACAATAACTCAATGATATCTTACCAGGGAAGAAAATTTGGGTAAAGAAAAGGCAGATGCAATGGCCAGAGGAGGATCTGCAAGTCTACATATAAGTCCTGAACGTAATCTTTGATTAATACAAACGAACATAGAATTCTCCATCACAGAATGGATCCAAAAGAGCCAAAATAAAAAATGGATTAATTCTAGGACAGTAAACTTACGCTAATACTATCCTCACACTTGCAAACTCACCACTACATTTAGAGATGACTAAACCAAGAGGAGTGATAGGACTATGTCGGTTACTGGCGTCTGAGAATATATGTACAACACATGGGTATATTCAATGAAAACGCAATTTGGTTATACAATTAGTAGGAAGCATATCATCTTCGAATGCAAAGCAACAGGGTAGAAACTCTAGCAACAACAGTCAATGACCTAGTACTCCTCTCGAAAAGGATCGAGTCGATTGCACTGATTGAAGGATCTAAGAAAGTATAAAAAGCTAGAGAGCTGCAGTGCTTGGGGAACAAACAACCACGACATCCTAGTATCCATATTTATCATCCTCATCCTTACCATATTATTATTTTCATTATTATAAATTGAACTTAGGCAATAGGTAACACATTTTGCAAACTCAAGACTGGTTCCTCTTCTCTTTTTTTCAAGTAAAATTTGTATATTGATTTATTCGTTAAGTAAACATTAAGTAATTATTTACTAACATTTTTTAAGGAAAAAACCAATACAAATAATTACTTCTAAATTCTTGCAAATTTTCATAAGAACAAGGCTCCTACGGTCTCGAACTGCCCCAAAATTCTGACATTGGTCTGCACTCGGAAAGTCCTTAATGACTGAGAAGTTTTCAAATAATTAACAATCAAATTGCAAACAGGAAAGTGTTAAATATTGGCCGCAATAACAGGTCTCTCACTTTATTGTGCAATTAGATGAGATATAATGGTATCGATTTATTATAATTTTCCTAAATTTAAACAGTACAAAGAACGGTGTATTTATGAAATATTTAAACGAGATAAAAGGAGTCATATGGCCACAGGATTTCTGATAGACTAGGATTTCACACTAACGAGGCAGTGTCATTCTCGGCACTCTATACTTCAGAAGGTCCATCGGCATTAATTTGCATGACGTTGGCTTTTTACTAGCCTACCGATATAACCTGATAAAAGCATCTGGCCGGGGGACTTCACTTATTCGATTAATAGCCGATTCCTGTCCCTCTTACAAAGGAGACAGGAATAAATGAGGTCAAAATGGTTTTAACGATGACCAAATGGAAGCAGTGTTTTATTCCCTACAACGATAAGACGACTTAAGTCCGGACAAAAAGATCATCCACCCTAAAATGTTTCTATGCATTACAATTTTATGTTTTCCTTCTAATTAATTCTGACTGATTTTTGTTGTTTAATTATTAAGTTCTTTCTAATTCTTGCGAAGAAATGAATGAATGAATACAAAATGAATCTCTTCCCGTTCCTAATGCTAGGGATGTGCTTCACCACGTTTTGGACCCACTAAAGCCCGATTTTTGGTTGTATCTTTTTTGTACAAGGCTAGCGAATTCATGTTAGATCCTTTTTTGGCCATGACCAAAAAGGTGATTGATTTGATTCGTTAAATCAAAGAATGACGAAAGAACTTAACCCTTTATGCTCTTTCATAAAGGCCTCTATTTACTTCTATGTTCCGAATGCCTAAGGATCCATGCCAGGGTCAGGTCATTGGTGTTGCTGAATTCTGTCATTCCGTTTCATACGCTTCTTGCCTTTAACTTGCATGAGGCTAAGGCCTTTAATAGCCGCCTGACTGCCAGAAAAAATAGCTATTTTTCTAGAATATGTCATTTGCTTTTGTATTTCTCTGATGCAGTGTTCAGTTGGTATGTTTTCAGAGTGGAAAACTGTAGTTTAAAGCCAGTTCAGTATTTCAATTCAACATTTATGACTTTTGAAACTCTGCTCTGTCTTCTCCTTGAATGAGGAGCGGTAGAAACCTCCAAGACCGCAATTGGCGTCATTCTCATGGCCCCAGTAACATTGAGGCAAGGTTGTCGTTGAATCCCACCTAACAGCCATATGTTCTTTGCCTGCAATTCGTCTCTTCTAACTGAATGAAACTGATTCAACACAGAAAACGTGGTGCAAAACGAGGAAGATGATACTTAACAAGAACAAATGTACGTTTACGTTAAATCAAAAATCAAGGTTCCATTTTCATCCATAGTCACCTTACCAAGCGCTTCGTTAAAGCGATCCGTACACATTTCCTCAAGTTTCACTCCTTTCTCTCAACCCATACTCCACTACCTTTCACCAAATAAGAATGACGAAAGAACAACAATTTATGCTCTTTATTAAAAGCCCTATCTCTTCTTGTTTAATATGAAACTATAATATTGAGGGCTGATATTAGTTATAAACCAACCTATTTAACCTGTCCAGAGGTTATCTCAATCTTATATCACCAATTATACAGAAAATTTCCATATCCTCTTAGCCCTCCAATCAGCTTTCCTGTTTCTACGCCCAATCCGCCATAGTTAAAATTACTATTATGCTATTATAAATTTCTTGACTTTCCCAAAGCTTTCGATTCCATCGATCGGTCATCAATCCTGTCCAAAATTAAACTCCTTTCTTTTCGAATAGTACCATTTGATGGTTCTACTCCTAGGAAGCCCAAAGCCATTGTTATAGATTCAGTCAACTCCTCAAATCCCTTCCCCAATCTATCCATTCATCATCAACTACCTTCCCACTCTACTCTTAAAAATCTCGCTGTTACCTTCGACCAAAACCTTACCTCCGCCTTCAATCAGTTATTATTTCTAATGGCCACACATTTTCCTTCCTCCCCTTAGCTTCACTTCAGACACTAGCATTTCACCTCTCGTGTTCAGCACTTAAACAATGATCTACCCGACTCCATCCAGCATTCAGATTATTGCCTCTCGGCCCACAACATCCAAATTTATCAGTCCTCCTATCCCTCCGAACTACATTTGTTTATCCCCAAAATTCAGAAGGTTCTCATTTCTATAAAGAAAGGATGCATAAAAACAACCTTGAATTAAATCCTAGGAAGCCCCAAGCCTTATTATATAATCCACTCGTCAAATCCCTAACCCAATCCATCCATTAACCATCAACCAAAACCTTTCCTCCAAACCATTTTAATTTTAATCAACGAAATAAAAATTCTAGGCTTACTAATAGATAAATATTTAACCTTGGATACATATTTTGATAAAGCTTGTGGCAGAGCTATTGCCTATCAATTAAAAAACTATTGAATATTTAGTATACTTCCTTGAAGCTAAAGATTATTTGGAGAAAATTTTAGATTAAAAAAATGAATTTACACACTGCTAAAAAATTTTACATAAAAAAATGAATTTATTTTTTTTTTTTGCCTTGTGTTTTCACATCTGCCATATCAATGGTGAATAGTGTGGGAGAGACCCATACTACACTACAATCTCCGTAACTAAATAACTAAACTATTAGCCACAATGAAATGTATATACCATTTCTGATAAGGGGGTTTGTGTTACTCAAAATTATACTGGTTTTAGTAGGTAAGAACAATCCGCATTGTAAAATCGCAGAACACAATTGATCTCTGTATTTTGTGGTTAGAGGGCAGGATAAAAATATGTGGTCCTGGTCCGCCAAAGAGCCATTATCACATCCGCAAACAGGGCTATCTTTAATACCGATCTTATATAAATGATATGGTAGACTGTAATGATTCAGAAGAAGCCTGCAGATG